ATTCTAAGAAAGCCTACCCAGCCCCCACACCAGCCAGATGGAGGGGGCCAGGGAGGAGTCAGAGACAGCCTCCGGTGGGTCAGAGCCCACAGGGGGACCAGGGGAGGGTTTCCAGGGGAGAGGCAGCACCAGGCAAGGAAGAAGAAGCAGTGGCAAGAGGTGGGGGTGGGGTACAGGGGAGAGCAGAGGGTCACACTGGCAATGGTTGATGTCAAAGGGACCCTGGGCAGACTCAAGGAGGCTGTAGTGACTGTGGAGAAGGCAGGCCAGGGGTGAGGGGAGGGGAGCCAGACTGTGGGGCACAGATGGGGTCCTGTGAGGGCATGTGGTATTGCACACAGGTGGGATACACAGGTCTGCACTTGAAGAGGTTCAAACACAGGTCTGAAAACAAAACAACAAACCTGTTTACTCCGGATCCCTGGGCACGTGCCCCAGGCGAGCCTGCAGTGGGTGACCAGGTACACTGCTAACTAGGTGAGGGAGTGGCCCCTGCTCTGCCTTCCACCCTGGGCCCTTCACCTCTGTGCTGAGAACCAAAGGTGCCCTGTGACCAGTCTCTGTGACCAGAGCTGAGTTCCCAGAGTAGGCTCAGGAGGAGCGGAAAGGATGGGGGACTAAGGGGAGCCCGGAGTGGCTCCGGGCAGTGAGAGGGGCTGCCTGTCCCAGCTCCAGGACAGTAGCCCTCACCCACCCACAGGGGAGGAGCTGGCACTTTGTCAGAAGTGACATTTATGATTGCAGTATGAGCTCGAGGAAGTCCAGGTGGTCTTGGGAACCTTGGGCTAAATTCCTGCTTGCTTCCTCCCCCGCGAACAGGGTGAGGTGGGGCTTCCCCTGCGCCCTCCTCTAACCCATCTCTGAGCCTTGGCAAGGCCTGCTTCCACCCTGCAGCCCTGGCACCTTAAGCACAGAAAAGGAACCCCTTGGGGGTGTTGTGGAGGCAGGAAGACATCTAGACCATATCCAAGTGCCTGCGGGTGGCCCTGAATATCAGCCAGGTGGCAAGGTCACCTGGCAGGAGGCAGGGCCTCAGCCCACGGATACAGAGCCCTGCCCTCTCTCCATCCCTGGCCCAGGTACCGCACGGTGCTCAGACCCAAATACAAGGTCGGCTACAAGACGGTGACGGAGCTCTCCTGGCGCTGCTGCCCTGGGCTCGCTGGAGAAGGCTGCCCTGAGCACCTCACGGACCACGGGGCCGTACCACCCCAGCCAGACCCTGAGCCCCAGATTCCCTCCGGGCAGCTGGGCCTAGGCCCTAGGCCCCCTCCTTCCAGCAGAGCAGCCCCCAGCCCCTACGGTGAGTCTGCCCACGGAGACCCTGTCAAGGCGGTTGGGTTTCTTGGGGGAGATGGGAAGCGGACTGACCGGCCGGCTGAGCTCAGGTAGGGTTAGGGAGGGTGCATCTCGTGCTGGGCAAAAGGGTGAGAGTCCCCAGGCCCCCCTGCAAGGCTGGCTTAGAAGAGAAACTCTCAGGTGGCTTGGCCACAGGACAAGCTGAGAGAGCCAGGCCAGTGACACCCTTGGGGTTCTCTCCTCTTTCCCAGGAAGGAAAGGCCCGGGGTTGTTTGGTGAACGGCTGGAACGGCTGGAGGGTGATGTCCAGCGCCTGGCACAAGCCTATGGTACCCTCAGCGGCCTGGTGGCCAGCCACGAGGACCCCAACAGGATGAATGGTGGCCCCAGAGCTCCTGCTACCCCCGTGGGCTTTGGGGTCATCCCCGAGGGGTTTGTGAACCCCGGAGACAGAGCTGGAGGGCCGCTCACACCTCCCCTGGACGAGATCTTGAGCAAGGTGACAGAGGTAAGCAACACGCTACGGACCAAGGTGCAGCTGCTGGACGAGGTACACGGGCTGGCCCTTGGCCACGAGGCCCACCTGCAGCGGCTTCGGGAGGCCCCCCCATCTCCGCTTACCTCCCTGGCCCTGCTAGACGAATATGTGGACCGACGGCTGCATCAACTCTGGGGGAGCCTGCTGGATGGCTTTGAGCAGAAGCTGCAAGGCGTCCAGAGTGCATGCGACCTGCGGGTGCAGGAGGTGCAGCAGCGGTGCGAGGAGGGTCAGGCGGCCAGCCGGAGGCTGCACCAGAGCCTGGATGGCCGGGAGCTGGCCCTGCGCCGGGAGCTCTCACAGCTGGGTACCCGGCTGCAGGGCCTGAGTGTGGCTGGTGGGGCCAGCTGCTGCAGCCAGTTGGCCTTGATCAGTGCCCGCATGGACAGCATCGAGAGGAACCTGCAGGCAGTCACTGAGGCCCAAAGGGGCCACGGCCCCTCCACCACGGACGAGCTCACGCGGCTCTCCGCCGCCATGCTGGACGGGGCTGTGGATGGACTTCTCGAGGGCCTGGAGACCCTCAACGGGACAGAGAGTGGAGCGAGGGGCTGCTGTCTGGGGCTGAAGGAAGGGGGATGGAGCGCGGGCGGTTTCCGGACCGTGCTGGAAGAGCGCGTGCGGAGCCTAGAGGAGCGCCTGCGGACGCTGGCTGGGGAGCTGAGCGGTGAGAGCACCCCACCGGGCAGGTCTGCGCGGCCCCTGGTGCAGACAGAGCTGGCTGTGCTGGAACAACGGCTCGTTTCGCTGGAGACCTCCTGTACCCCCAGCACCACCTCCTCCATCTTGAACAACCTCATGGCGGAAGTGAAGGCCTGGCAGAGCCAGCTTGAGGCCCTTCTCCGCCAGGTAGCCAGCCATGCGACCTTGCTCCAGCAGCTCAATGGCACGGTGGCCGAGGTCCAGGGGCAGCTGGCAGAAGCAACGGGCAGCTCGCTCCAGGGCGAGATCACCCTGCTCAAGGTCAATCTGAACTCTGTGAGCAAGTCACTCACAGGCCTCAGCGACTCCGTCAGCCAGTACTCGGATGCCTTCTTGGCCACCAACACCTCCCTGGATGAGCGTGAACGCAAGGTGGAGGCTGAGGTCCATGCCATCCAGGAGCAGGTCAGCAGCCAGGGCTCCCGGCTTCGGGCTGGCCACAGGCAGGTCCTGAGCCTGCGGGGGGAGCTGGAGCAACTCAAGGCCGGTGTGGCCCATGTGGCCGGCGGGCTGAGCCGCTGCCAGGACACAGCCCAGGAACTCCAGCACGCAGTGGGCCACTTTGACCAGAGGGTGGCGCAGGTGGAGGGAGCGTGTGGGAAGCTGGGCCTGATGGCGGCAAACCTGAACGGCTTGCCCATCGAGTCCCTCAGGCCCAGCGAGGGCCTATGGGGCCACGTGGACCAGCTGAATCGCACGCTGGCCCAGCACGCACAGGACATTGCCCGCCTCCGGGATGACCTGCTGGACTGCCGGGCCCAGCTGGCCGAGCAGGCGCGGCCAGGGCAGGCCAACTAGGTGGGCTGGACAGGATCCACCCCCCAGATCCCACCAACCCTGGGGACATCGCCCCAGAGCTCAGACCATGCCCCCAGCCTCCCAGGCCAGTGCAGATGCCACTTTACAGGCACTGAAGGAAGTCTTGGCCCAGCTCCACGAGACTGTCTCAGACACCAACACCCATGCTCAGTGCTACACCAGCTGGACAGTTCAGAGTGGTCAAGGAGAGTACGACATGCCTGGAGGCCAGGGTGGACCTAAGAGACCATAATCCAGTCTGCCAGTTGCTTTTCTGTGGACACGAGTCGGCCCCTGTGCAAAGACTGCAGGTCCATTCTCAGACGGGGGCCTGTCCGCAGCTCCCTTTGCCCAGGGAGCCAGCCCCAGCCCGGGGGCTTCTGGTCCCTTTGTCCCTTAGCTTCTCTCCCAGTCGTCTGGGCTCGGTGTCTGTAGGAAGGGGCTTCCCACTGGCACCGGCCTCACCTGGCAGCTTCCCAGATGCTATTTCTGAACCAGGATAAGAGGTTTCCACCACCCCACAGGTCCTTCAGGACGGAACAGAAACACAGACTCAGCCACGAGTTCTCTTTATTCCTTTGGATCCTCCCCAAGGTGAGGGCTTAGGCAGCTGGAGATGCCCAGAGAACAGGATTGGGTCAGGGGATCTGTTTGGAAACCCTCGGCAGTTGGTGCTCTTCCTTCTCTTCCCCAAAGATGTTTCCAGGGTACTCAGGTCCCCACGTGGTCCTCTCCTTTCCATCTAGGGGGGTATCTTTAGGGCCCTCCCATGTGCGTCATGGCCTAGGTGAGGCCAGGCCCTAGACGGGGGCCGTGGCTGGAGGGAGAGGGCTCCAGGCCCAGTTCCAACCTCCCTGCAACCCCGCCCCGCCTGGACGTTCACGCAGTCCTGAGAAATGCAGGTAGGACACTCCCAAGGATCAGTCTGAAAAGGCACGTTCACCTGGCCCGCAGTCACCAGCGGCCCGACGCCCATCTCTGCGGAGGCGCCAGCCCATGGCAGCTCGGGCCCCTGCTGCAGGTCCCGTAGCCCTGCCTTCTGGTTTCTCGACATTTGGTACCCTACCCGCCCCTGTGGTGCTACTGGGGGAGAGCGGGCCGGATTAAAGCTTTTAGCCTCTAAAAGTACTTTCTTCCCCAGACTCGGTGGGAGGGGAGGCTGCAGCGGGGTCACCTTGCTTTCCACAGGTCCCCAGGCAGCAGCTTGCTCGGCAGCGCTGGGCACCGGGCTGACCAGCAAAGGCTAGGGGAGGGCGGGAGGCCACCCCCACCTCCCTGGCAGGGTCTGGGGCCGCATCCTCAGAGGACAGGCTGGAGGGAGGGGCAGTGCTGTGTCAGGGTTTGGCCTCAGAGGGTCTGGATGAAGCGGGGGCACTGTGTTCTTCCCAGACGCTAATCCACTGCACCCCGCTGCTGCCACCAGCCTTCCCTGTGCCCCGGCTCTGCCGCCACAGTGGGGCCTCCCTCCATCTCCTGTCAGGGGCGGAGGCGGAGCCCACAGTGATAGGGACAGAGATGTCAAGGGCCCAGGTGACAATCACTGAACTGCTGCAGGCCAGGGCCATGCTGAGGCCTGGAGCAGCTGCCCCGCCCCCTGCAGCTCCACCAGCAGAGGCAAGAGGCGGGACAGGGAGGAGAGAGGTTGCCAACCATCCCTCAGCCCCCTCCACCCAGCTTCCAACCCCATGCCCTGGGACTCCCCATCGGCCTGGGCCGGGCCAGGGAGGGGCGGGCAGCCAGGGCAGGTTCAGGCCAGGGCGTCGAGGTCCACTGCAGCCAGTGGCTCCCGCCAGTAGCAGAAGCTGCTGTAGTCAGGGTTGGCCAGGTCGGTGCTGGGGCCGCGCGCCACGGGCGGGAAGAGGAGCTCCACCACCTCGCTGAGCCGCTCGTACCTGCGAGCAGCGCGGAGGGCGGCACTGAGGGCCTGCGCTGCCACAGGGCCACGGCCCGGGACATCGGCGGCTCCACCCGCCCGGGGCCCTGGGCAAGGAGCTGAGTCCAGCGGGGAGGTGGACCTGGGGCCCGGGGCGTGGGCCCGGGGCAGGGCGTGGCCTCACGTGGATTTGTGGTTCTTCATGGGCTCCTGGATGAGCTCTCCCCGGGGGTTGACGGTGAAGATTCGGGATTCAGGTAGGCCCACCTGCCGGTAGGCAGTGACATCCTGTGGGAGACCAGGAGGGGCTGGTGGGCTGGGAGGAGGGCGAGGTGCCTCGGCCCTCGGGGAGGAGACACTCACGTTGGGCCTGTTCCCGAAGGCGGCATAGAAGGGCTTTCCGTGGGGCAGGAACAGCTGCTGGACGTCACTCAGGCAGGCGATCTTGAACACCTCTGGCTTCTTCTCAATCACCTCCCTGGGGAGCAGGGCCACGGGCAGGGAAGGCGGCCGAGGAGGGCGGCAGGGTCAGTGACACAGGCTGGGGGCTGGCCTGGGCGGGCAGTGGGCCTGCACTCCCCCCGGGCCGTGGGCTCATATGGGGGGGGGGGATTACCTGTGCAGGGCGGAGAAGAGGCTGCTGGGAGACAGCAGGATGGGGCCCTTGGGGAGGGCACAGCCCCGCTCGCTCACCCACTGCAGGTACCCCTTGGTGAGGTCAGCCATGCCAATGGCCCGCGCCGAGCAGTACAGGAACTTGTACCCATTCCTGGGGTGGGGACAGGTGGCACAGAGCCATCAGGGTCCAGAGGGCAGGGTCCATCCTGCCCTCTCGGCTTCAGCCAGCTCTGTCCAACCCTGGGGCTCTGGCCTCCAAACCCAGAGGCGGGGACTTAGGGAGAACAGCGGGGCGCAGCTCGAGAGGGGGCCTCAGAAGGAGCGTGGGCAGAATCCCGAGGCCCAGGTGGACCAAGACGGACGAGGGTTTGACCAAGTCCAGAGACTTCCTCTATAGCATGAAGTTCAACAGCTAAACCCAGATCCCAGACCACAGGAGACGAGTCTTCCACAGGCGGAGGACTGGTGTGTGGGCCTCAGCACTCCAGGGTCATGGCCTGGTGTCTTCCCCCACGGGTCCTGCTGGCCCCGAGCCTGGCTTCCCAGGGCCGAGGCCGTGGTGGTCTAAGGTGTCCTGTCCCTCCCTCCCGGGGCCCTGCCCAGCCCGGGCACTCACAGGTGGATTTTGTGGTAGAGACTCGTGATGCCCTGGTGTGTCCAGTCTTTCCCCAGCTGGGGCAGGATGTGGCCCAGCGCGTCCGACCTAGATCCCAGAGGAGGGGTCACGCCAAGGCAGCCTCATGTGGCCCTCATGTTCCCAGCCCCAGGATGGGGCACTGGGAGGGCCCCCTCCCTGTCCCCCGTCCCCCAGCAGGGGGACGCAAGTTCCCAGGCCTCACTTGGTGATGGTGCCATCGATGTCTGAGATGACCACCTTGTCGTCCCACTTCCACAGGTAGATGTTGGCCCTGCAGCGGCAGGTGCCCTGGTACTGGGTTGTCACGCTGAAGACCACGTCGTTGGCACCTTCTTGCAGGTTCAGCTGCCGCTGGAGGCGGGCAGAGGCGGGGAGCTGTGACCTGCCACAGCCAGGCCCTGGCACCCCTGCCACGCCAAACAGTGGCCTTCCACCCCCAGGCCTCCCACCCCCTCCCGACGCAGAGAGCCTGCCTGAATCACCAGACGGCCACACGGGCACGTGGGCAGAGTGGCCTCAAGGAGGGAGTGGGGTGCTGCTGGAACCCGAGCGGTGCCAGGCACACCAGCCCTGACCTCCCTCCGTGCTCCTTTGGCATGAAGCTCAAGGACGAAGGCTGGCCCGTGGCTCCCACTCAAGTTCCTCGGGTCAGCTCCAAGGCTGGCCCTGCCCTCGGCAGAGGAACACCTCACTGCACAGGAGGGCCCCGTGGGCCAGGGCACCTCCACAGACATCCTCCAGACAGACCCAAGCCTTTTCCTTGGTCCGCAGAGAAGGATGAGGGCAGCTCAGCCATAGCTGTGTGGGCCCCAGGGCACCACACGGGTGGCAGCTGCTCTGTCCCGGACCAGCCGGGCCCCCTGGGCACCTCCCTGCACGTGGAGTCATCCTCAGGGAGAAAACGTTCCTACTACAGGAGCACCTAGGACTGAGCTCAGACATGGCGGGGCCCATGTGAAGGGCGGTCATGAACACCTGATTCCTCCAGTGTAGCTTCCGAGAGCAGACCAGGCCAGCCGAGCCAGAGGGCGAGCTTTTCGGCATAGAGAGGGCTCGAGCGCACTTGACAGAGAATGGACTGGCGTGTAAAGTGAGTCCCGGGCCCCTGGAGGTACCCCAGCAGAGGCTGTTCGGCTGCCCAGGGGACAGATTCTGGGCTTTGATGGACGTGTGGCTCTGTGGAGCCGTTCCTTAGCGGGCCCTACGGGGCTCGGGGACAGTTATCACCACCCCACCGTCCCGCAGAACACACTCACGATCTGATCCGAGGAGAGGCGGAGGGACTTCTTGTAGGTAGGAGTGTAGGCTGGAGGCAAGGGTGGCAGGGAGGGGGCCTCCAGGATCACGGGGCTGTCTGGGGCGTCGTCCTCACTGCTCAGGACATCCGTCTTCTCCCTGCAGGCGGCCCAGCTCTCAGGCTCCTCCCCCGTAGACACCCCTCGGCCCAGGCCACAGGGAGCCTGATCCTGTCCCTGACCCTGCAAGACTACCCAGGGGATCAGAAACACCTCCCTCTAGGTGCCACCCATTTGGGGGTGGTAGACCAAGGATGTGGCCAGCAGTCTACCCCCAGAAAGGCGACGGCAGAGCTGCAGCTGAGGGCCCGGGCTCTCAGACCTTGGGGCCTCCCTGCGGCCAGGATGCCAGTGCCTGCGCGGAGATATTTACCTAAAAACCTACAGTGAGGTGTTTCGGGGTTTATTCCCAACCTCACCTGCTTTGGCTCAGGTGACTCATCCTTGGTGAGTCCACCCCCACCCACCCCAACCTCGAGTGTTCTGACTCCGTTCAGGGAGCAAGGCCCCTGGTGGAGAGGGGACACCCTGCCCTCCTTAATGCCGTAACCTTTGTCTGGGCCAGGAGTCTGGGCACCCGTCCCAGCTCCGCTATTTCTCAGGACAGAGAAAGGGTGTGGAAGTGGGTGCGGAGGGACAAAGACCCGTGGCGGGGCAGGGTGCTGGCTCCATCCCTGCCCTCCCCAGGCGCCCAGCCCAGAGATCAGCTCACCCACTTGGCTCCCGGGCTGGGGTCTTCTCCCTCTGGGCACTTCGCTATGGGAAGAACGTCCGTCTAGTGAACAATGGGCTTCTGCCGGGGCTGACCCCACCCTGTAACCGTGACCACCCACCTCCTCGGCTGGGAAGTCCCTGCGTCGCCAGGAAAACCACCACCGCCCACCCTTCCTGGGCATTTTCTCCTTCTCCAGCTTGTCCACGGTGCTCTGCGGGCAGATAAAGGCCATGGCGTTTTCTCCTGCATCGCCTCGTTGCCCTTGGGCCACCAGGGGTCCGGAATTTGGGACTGACCATCAGGCAAGGTGCTGCCAACCTCTGGAGGCTGAGGAGTCACACCCGCCTCCACCCTGGATTCATGTAACTAAGCACAGCAGACCCGGGACCACTCCTGTCCGTCCGAGCCCTGACCCCCACCTCTAGCCCAACCTCGGCCTGGCCCCCAAATCCTGTGGGTCAGTTTCCCTAGAGTAGCTACGGGCAGCGCTTTGGGGGTTTCGCGAGGTCTGGTACTCCCTGCGAGATGCCACCAAGTGCCAGCGGGAAGGACACTGGCCACAGCTGGACTCCCCGCAGCCTCTAGGAGCCAGGAACACCTAGCTCCCTGCTACCTTCCTGTCCGCTGGGAGCGACATGACCGTGAAAACCACTGATTAGATCTGTGCTTCCTACACACACAGAATGGTGCACCCACGTCAGCAGGACATGGGCTTGGGGGGGGTCGCCCAGGGTGCCCACTTGAGCTGGGAACAGGCGGAGGAAGTCTCCCAGGGGCCTCCATGGTGGGTCTGTCCAGGCGAGGACAGCCAAGCAGGAGAGTGACCCTCTTCCTTCTCACAGGCTGTGGTCCTGGCTCAGACCCAGAGCCAGCCAGAGGATGGTGCTGAGCATCACCACAGGGAGGCACCAGCTGTCTACACCTGGTTAGTGATATTCTTTGGGCAACGCTAATCAAGTGAAGAACAACAGGCCAGGGCAGGGCCCTGGACCACTTCCAGAAGGGCAAAAGGGGCAGGTGCCGGTCAGCACAGGACAGAGGTTCTGGGAGGGACTGAGAGGCTGGGTTCCTTCCCGCCTCTGAGCATCTGTACATGCTGTTCCTGCCCCTCATCAGCCTACACCTTACTCAGCCTTCTGATCTCTGCCCAGGGGACACTTGCTCAGCAAACCTCCTTGTTGCAGGCTCTTGGAGCACCCAGAACTCTCCTCCCCAATACTCAGCTGAATTCTGCATTCACCTGGCTGAGTTGTGGATTCACTGTCCCAGCACACAGTAGGTGCACACGTGTATGCTAATAAAGTGAGCAAGCACCTGCAGCCCAGCCTGGAGGGGTTCTCAGGGTGAGGGGAGGAGTGGGACCTCCAGCTCCCAAGCCTCATCTCTCAGATCTGGAAACCTCCTCTTGAAGGCATGTCCCTGTCAAGTGTGTGTCCCCTCTGGTGTGTCCCGCATGCCTCGGAAGGAAAGTCCAAGTCCAGTGGGATTGGGCTACTCCAGGAAGCCAGGGAAGGCTGTGGCTCTGTCCACACGGCGTGGCAGGCTGCGGGACCTTGGTCTCCTCCCAGAGCGGGTCTTGAATCAGTCAGCCCAGGCCTCTCCCCGCCCACACTCCACTCCTGGCCAAGGGCCCCTCCCCTGAGGCTATGGCCCCTCCCCCAGCAGGCCCCGTGGTGCTCCAGCCCTTACCTTGGGCAGGCTCCTCTGGAAGGCTTGCAGAGAGAGGACCATGGGGGCAGCTACAGCCCAGTTGTAATGCCTGGAGGGACAGCACGGGGTGTTGGGGCTGCAGGGCCATGAAGGGGCGGGTGACCCTCTGTGGCAGCCAGCAGCCCAGCCCTGGCACTTACTTCTCATTGATCCTCACAACCAGGTTCGGGTCGTCCAGGAGCCCAGGGTTTTGGGCGAGGTCCTGGTAGGAGACTACATGCTTGTTGAACTTCTCTGGGCACAGAGGCAGAGAGTGAGGGGGGAGGCCCACACGTCCCGCGTGACCCACTGCCCCGGTCCCTCCTGGCCCCTCCGCACTCGGCCACTCAGGCCTCGGGGCTCCTCCCTTCCTGTGGTTTTGCCCCTGCTGTTCCCAGCCCAGGCACCGGCCACCCGGCTGCACAGGTGAAGTCCCAGCGGAGCATCCAGGCTGTCACAGGGCCTTGGGAGTGCCCCACCCGCACTGGCGGAGTGCGGGCTCCACGGGCAGGGAGCGCGGGGAGCCTGGCTCGGCCTCACCCCCTGCCGCCCGCCCTCTGCGGTCCGCCCTGCGCTCACCAGCCAGGCGCAGTGGCAGTCCTTAGAAGGGCTCAGGGTCGGACATACCCAGGGAAACGTCCCGGCTGTCAGCCAGTCCACCACAGAGGGACAGCACTACCGTGTCCACTGTGTCCGGAGCGGGTTCTGGCTCCTGTTCGGGGTTGGGGTCCCCCAGTGGCTTCTGGCTACCGGGTTCACTCCACCTCCTGGGCCCCAGCCCACGGTCACTGAGGGAAAAATGGCAACGGGGACGTGAATACAAGCTGGGAGGAGGGGCCTCGCCGCTCACAGCCCCCAGTAGCCAACCTCTGGCTCCACGGCCCGATCCCAGGACACCCAGGCACCTCTGGGGGAAGTAAAGGGCTACATCCTCAGAGTCCAGAGAGGGCAAATCGTCCAGGTAGATGTCACTGGGGCCCAGGTGCTGGCTTCTCTTCGTGGAGCCTGGGGGAGAGGCGGTGACACCTGTAGACCCAACGTGCTCAGCAGTGTGCACGGTGAGACTCCCCTGCCTCCGAGCACCCTAGCTCAGACATCACCCGCTCACAGAGGCCTCCCCTGACCACGTTATCTCGGTGGCCCCCGTCCCACCCAGGGATCTGTCCCCTGTCACCCAGGTAACACTCTTCCTGGCTTTTGCATGTGTCATCTGTCTGCCCCACTGGACTGTGAGCCCCAGCGGGCTGGGGCCAGACATAGCGCCTGGCACACAGGTGCTCAGGACATGCCCGATGTCCCCCAGTCCACCCAGGTGACGTGAGGCCAGGGAAGCACTGGGGTTGTCCGGCTACCACTCACCTTTCCTCCTGGGGCCCCCCTCTGGCTGCCTGGTGGGAGCTGGACCCTCCAGAGCAGCCCAGCTCCACGATTTGGAGGCCGGAGAGAGACCTGCGTCCCTGGACCTCTGAGTCTTGGTTTTCTCTCTCTGAGGGGCAGGGAGAGGGGGACCCACCAGAGCGGGCACCTCCGTGTCAGGCTGAAGGGCAGGGGTGCTGGGCTCGCCCTGAGGTGAGGCTGCCTTGGTGCTGCCATCAGGGACCATGGAGGACAGGAGCCGCTCAGCTTTGGCCACCTTCAGTCAAACAAATGGGGAAGGATGTGGGCCAGGCCGACTCACAGTGTCCCACAAGGCCTTGGGGAGGTGGCCCAGTCTGTCGCCCCAGGCCTTATCTGCAGGGGCCATGGGGCCCCTGAGAGGCAGGGATGGAGGGGTTGGCACAGAGAAGCTCACCTTAGGCAGCCTCCCCCAGGCCCACTGCATGTGGGACTCCGCTCTCAGGGGGCTGGGCTCGGGGGTCCGCACCTCCAGCTCTGAGTCACTCTTGGGGGATGTTAGCCCATCCGACGACAGGCTGCAGGAAACAAGAACTCAGCAGCCCCTCAGCGGCCCCACACCGGCCTGCCACCCACCCAGCTGGGGAAAAAGTATTTGTAGAACATATTTATGCTTGTGTTGGATTCAGAATATATAAAGAACTCCTACAAATCAACAATAAGAAGGCAGTCTGGTAAACTAAAGGGAGGGGGGCAAGTTTGTGACTGCTTAATGGGTAAAGGTTTTCCTTTTGGACAGATGAAAAAATTCGAAGTAGACAGGGCTGTCCTAGGTGGTGGCACAACACTGCGAGTTTAGGAAATGCCACTGAATTGTGCACTTTACTGTCATAAAATTGTACATTTTATGTTACGTGCATTTTACTGCAATTTTTGTAAATGGGCAAAGGACTTAAACACTTGACAAAGGTGATGTACAAATGGCTGGTAAAACACATTAAATGTGTTCTAAGTCACTATTTACTAGAAAAATGTAAATGGAAACCACCCTGAGACCTTGGTCTTAAGTCCTTGCCTGCAGCCCACCTGGACGCTCACCTGGCCTGGGAGGGCCACTCGCCGTCGGAGTAGGGGTAGATGTCCGTGGGCTGTGACGAGGACTCCCCTTCCAGCTGGATGCTGCTGACGGGCCACAGGGAAATAAATGGTCACTGACAGCACACGGGAGCCTGAACATCAGGGCCTTGGGGAGGTGAAGCAACTAATGCCCAGAGAGGTCAAGGCCCTTGCCCAGGGTCACACAGCACCAGCAGAAGAAACAGTGCTTGAACCCCGGTTGGCACCCTCACACCCTTGGCCCCCACCTGGCCCCCACACACCCTGGGGACTCCAGCCTCGGCTTTTCCAGCAGGGACAGCTCGCTCTCGGCGCCTGCCTCCTGCTCCTCAGAACTGGAATCGTCTGCCATCATGTCCTCCTTCCACCGCGGTTTCCTTCTGCGAAGCTTCTTCTTCCTTCCCGTGGACACGCCCAGGACGGGCTCGGACTCGCTGGCTGTACCCAGCTGGGAGTCGGAGGGGAACCCAGACAGGCCTCCCCAGGGGATGGGAGATGTGCACAGGCGGGGAGGCACGTGTTCCTGTAGGGAAGACCAGGGGCAGGACTGAGGGGCTGCAGCTTAGGGGGGCTGCTCTTGGTCATCCTGCCAGGAAAAACAGGAGTGGAGGCAGGACAGAGGTGGCAGCAGCGACTGTTGCTGGCCTCCGGGCTCCCTTGGAGATAACCACACCTTCTGTTCAGAAACCTGGGCGTCAGCTCTCATCTTCTCTGCCCACACCTACCACAGAAGACGCCTACTTCCCTTTTAAGACATAGCCAGGTGTCGCCTCCTCCAGGAAGTTTGCCCTGACTATCCTCAGCCTCAGTTCCAGCCCCCTTCACTGTAATGACCGAAGAGTTTCATCACCCGTTGTTTGTGTGTCTGTCTCCTAGGCTTGTCTGGGAACCTTCTCTGAAAGCAGGGGTCGCCCGTCATCTAAGTGCACAGCATAGTGTCTGCACAGGGGCTCAGTTTAAGTTTGTCAGGCTCAGACGATTTAAACACCTCTGCTGGCCTGTGCTGGGCCTGCCTCCCTTCTGCAAACACCCTTCTCCTCATCCCCCAGCACCCACCCACCTCCACGCTGCAGCGGCACTGAGCCGGCCCCAGACTGAGAACGCGTCATCTCCAGCTCTCCAGCCCCAGCTACTCCTCAGCACCCCCTCCTCTCCAGGCTGCCTGAGGTAGGCCTCCTTCACACCCTTCAGGGGACCAGCTCAAGGGTCCTCTTCTGAGAAGCCTTCCCCAACTTTCCCTGGGAAGTAAGTCAGCCCTCGTCCCCCTCCCCCAAACTCTATGCAGGCTCTGATAGCATATCACCAGCACTAACTCATCCCCCTGCACCAGGCCCTCGATGAAGGGGTGCTCCCTGGGTGGGGACAGGGACAAACCCCAAGGCCCCACCCAAGGGGGCACTAGTGAAGGGGCAGGGGCAGGTGCTATCAAGGACAGAGGTACTGTCTGGCTGGTGTGGTTCAGTGGCTGAGCACTGACCCGTGCACCAAGAGGTTGCCAGTTCAATTTCCGGTCAGGGCACGTGCCCAGGTTGTGGGCCCGATCCCCAGTGGGGGTCATGCAGGAGGCGGCCAATCGATGTTCTCTCTCAATCTATTTTTCTCTCTCTCCCCCTCTCACTCTCAAAAAAATCATTAAAGGGAAAAAAAAGGACAGAGGTACTTACCTCATCACTCTCCAGCTCCTGGACGAAGAAGGCCTCCCCGCTGTCCCCCAGCTTCATGTGCAAGTCCACGGGCTCCCCATTGACCTCGATGTCTACCTGCAACGGGCACATGATCCCCACCGTCGGCCCTCACCCCACACTCCAGTCCACGGGGGCGCTGGCCTCCCAGCTGCCCAGGAGACACTGGCTCCCTGCGGCCCCCGAGCCTTGCATTTGCTGGGACTGTGTTCCCCAGCCCTTGGTGGCCTGGCTGCGCCCAAGCTGAGGATCTCTGCTCTCTCGGAGGCCTGGCCGAGCTCTCTGTGCCCCCTCCAAACACATTTCCCCATTCTCTAGTCTTTGTTGCAAGTATCACGGTCTCAGTATTCTTGTTTATGCCTTGGTTTCTCTGTTTCTCTCTCTCCCACAGCCCCTAAGACAAAGGACAGGAACCATCTTGTCACTGTTGCGTCCCCAGCCCCAGGCCAGCGCTCCAACTTTTGTTGGGTACTCCGACAATGGTAAGAATCGCATTTCCTAGGCACCTCGTGCTGTGTTTTTTCTTTTTTTCTATCCTCACCCGAGGACATTTTTGCATTTATCTTCAGATAGAGCAGGAGGGAGAGAGGAAGAGAGAGAGAGAAACACTGATGTGAGAGAGACACATCGAGTGGTTGCCACCCCCATGACCCCATCCGGGGCCAGGGACAAACTGCAACCGAGGTATGTGCCCTTAGCGGGAACCGAACCCAGGATTCTCCAGTCCGCCGGCCGATGCTCTAACCACTGAGAAAAACGGCCACGGCTCGTGCAGTGTTTGATCTGGACTATGTGGTTTAGTCTTCACAACCACTCCTTGCAGCAGCTCCTATCATTATCCCCAGTTTATAGATGAGGAGACTGAGGCTCAGAGGGGTGAAGTAATTCCCCAGGAAGTAACCAAACGAGGCTATGAACTCGGAGTCTGAGTCCACAACCCAAGCTCTTAACCAACAGCTCCACTGTCTCCCACAAGGGTACACTGTCCTATTTAGATTCTGGAAAGTTCACGGTCACCCCCACATGCAGGGGGTCTGGGCCCCCACACCTCCTTTCGCATACTAGACCTCTGTGCTAACAGAAATCTGCCCCAGTGACAACCACGCAGGCGTCCTCGGGGAGAGAGGGGCTCACCTCTGGCCCGGGGATGCTGGTATCAGCTCCCGTTTAGTCACCAGGCAGATGAGAGCCTGTCCCTTTGCACAGGTGAAGCAACTCACCAAGGACACACAGGTGAGGTCTTAGTAGGCTGAAGCCAGGTCTCATGGTTCCCCTACACTGCTTGTAGGGGGAAACAGGAACCCTCTTGGACCCAAACCCCACACCAACCCCAAACCATCAAAGAAAATACAAAAGGAAGGAAGCCTGTCCGGAAGACAGACCCCGCCCCCCCAAGGGAGGCCTGGGTTCTCTCCTGGGACTGCAGTGGCCCCCTCGGCCGGCTGTCAGCACTCACCACCTTCTCCCGAGATCGCAGGACACCCAGCTTGCCGAAACGCACGTGGAAGGGCGAGCATCGGAAGGAGCCGTCCACCTGCTTCACCACCAGCACGTCGATGCAGCCGCTCAGCGTGGCCGGGTTCAGGCCCTGGTACAGCTCCTTCACCGTCCCAAACACGGTTCCCGCCAGCTGACCCACGTAGTTCATGGCTGGGGCTGGCAAAGGGGGCAGTGCTGGGACCAAGGCCTGGCTCCCTTCCCCCACGGGGAGACTTTGCACCTGACCCCCAAGCCCTGGGCTTACGGGGTCGCCCCTGGAGCGCCTTCGAAGATGGGCAGCGGTCACGGGAAGGGAGCTGCGCCTGTAGACCTGGGTTCTAGCGCTGGCTCACCCACTGACCAACCATGAGACTCCTGGGCAGCTGCCTCTCTTCTCCAGGTGCTGATCCCCACATCTGTCAAATGAGGGCACAGGACAAGGCGATCTGGGTTCTTTAAGCCTCTAAATGCCATGAGTAATATAATGACCACAGTGCTCAGTGACAGGCTCATTCCTCTTCACAACAGCCTATGAGGTTGGCCGAGTAGGTGTCATTATTCCTGTTTACAGAAAAGCCAGCCGAGGCACAGAGAGGTGGAGTGACTTGCCCGGGATCTCACAACTAGGAAGGGGAAGAGCCGAGGTTCGAGCCCTGGCCGCAGAACCCTAGGTGGCCAAACTGTAGGCACCCCTCCCCGGGGTCAATGGGGAGGCAGCCTCATGATGTATCAGGCCCTGACCCCTGCTGGGTAACAGGCAACAGCCCTAAAGCCTGATATCTTCCCAGCAAATGGGAAGACAGGAGTCTCAGTTTTTCCACCTGAAAAATGGGTTCAGCTGACTTGCTGCTTCCTGGTCCCAGGAATTGGAAGGGGCCTTCCTGGTCCAGTGTGGCTGATTTGTGAGGAACCAAGGTGAGAGCACCCCAGGGACCTGAGGCTCTTCCCAGCTCTATTCCTGGGGTCAGATGCTTGGGGCAGAGCATCTCCTTATAGCTGTGGGTGGGGGAGCTCCCAGTTTAAGGCTCCAAACTACAAAGTCCTTTCCAGTTTCCTTGGGAGGGTGGGAAGCCCATCCATGGCCCACAGCTGACCCCAGGGTCTCTAGGCCATAGTTCTCAACCCCCACCCCCAGCCCTCAGCCCCACATTCAGGCCTTGGGCTGGCCCGTGGTACCCAAAGCTCTCCTCCTTCCCCCAGCCAGACCAGTCCCTCCAGCTTTCCCACACCAGGCACAGCTGGGTGAGCCAGAAGCAGGAGGCTGTGGCAGACACACACACAACAAAAGCCAGAGCCATTAGGAGCCGCCTCCACGCTGGCATGGTGCCCACCTGCAAGCTTCAGCTTTGCCCTCCCTGCCGGCCAGGCCAGTGGCCCGCTGCCCCTCTGGCTGCCAGGACACAGGCCATTCACTTCCACAGGGCCATAGATGGGGCAAGGACGTGATGACTCAGATCCTGGTTTCCTGACTCCATACCATGGTTCCTTCCACTCCACGGTTCCCCAAACCACACCACAGTTGTCTGCAGAGAGGACAGCCCGGCCCATAGCCCCCTTCTGCACAGCCCTGTAGTACCTTGCCACTCAAAGTGTGGTCCATCCCCAGCAGCACCAGCGGCACCTGGGAGCTTGTTAGAAGTGTGGAGCTTCACAAACAAGGTACAATTTCAATTGCTAAAGTGAAAACTGAGATAAAATGATCTTTGGACCCTGAACATGTCACTCAAATGTGATAAATATCTCATCTGCAAGGGACCTGTGCTATGTGAAAATCTCTACTTTGGTTTCTTCCTACCTGACACCAAACTCTGTGAATACAGGTGTGGGGAGACAAACAGACAAGAGCAGGACTCTAGACCACTGTGCCCAGGAAAAGCAGAGAGAACACGAGAAGCTTCCAGGAATAAAGGAGCAATCATGGGAGAGGCAGACCTGGGGTGGGGCAAAGGTCTGCCCAGCTGGAGGCCCAAGCCTGAGCTATGTGCCCTGCCGAGGGCCAAAGAACTTGGGTGTGTGTGTGTGTGAAATGCTGAGCTCGACCAAATACAGGGTTTCTCAACTTTGGAATCACTGACATTTGGGGCTGGATAATTCTTTGTTGTGGGGGGATTGTAGGATGTTCAGCAGCACCCCTGGTCTCTACCCACTAGATACCAATAGTAACTGCCCTCCAGTTGTGACAATCAAATTGTCTTCAAACATTGTTAAAATCGGCCTTGGCTGAGAGCCACTGAGGTAGTAAGTAGAAGGGCAGAAGGGCAGAGATGTCACCCAGGGGTGCCCTGGGTCCTACGTTGATCCACCCATGGAGTGATCTCAGACAAGTACTTTGCTGGCCTCAGTTTCCTCTTCTATGAAACAAGCCTCAAATTTTCAAACCCTTCTCAGCCTAGAATCCACTCTTCAACCTGTTCCCCCACCCACAAGTAGATCCCCCCCCATCTGGCTGCCCTTCTCTACCTGCACCCACCCCTGAAGGCATCTCCTCTCCCCACAACCCAGCTCTGCCTTCTTGGTCCTCTCCAGATGATGGGGATTGCTGCTTGGCTCCCCTGTGCCACCTTCACCCCAAACTAACATGTCTGAAATCAAACACTTCACCTTCCCCAGTCAGCTGAATTTCTCTCAGTACCCATGGGTACCCACCCCACCCCTCTCAACCCTATTCCCCAATTTTCTGCTCATATGTCCCAGGTCCAGGCTTATTTCCTGATGCCTAGATCCTGGATGGCAACAGGAAACCGTGGGTGAGGCATCAGAGTGTCGGGTTCTATTCTCCTCCCCAACACTTACTAGCGGTGACCTTGGGCAAGTCTTTTCAGCTCTCTGAGCCTCAGTTTCATCCTCTAAAAAGGGGATGATATAAGGGATGCATAATGACATAATTCGTGTAAACACTAGCGCACGAAAGTGCCCAGACATGTCACCTATCAGCTGCAGCATCTTTTTTGGCATTGTGACAGCCCCCTTCACCCAGGCTGGTCCTGCAGACACTACAGGTCAGACTCCAATGCACTGTCCCTACCCGCAGTGGACAGTGTAGACTTCTTAACTCGGCATACAAGGCCCTGCATGATGGTGGCCCCAGGGTACACAAGGGGAGCAGGTGGGCTCTAGGTAGGCCTCACAGGGGGCCCCAGCCTCAGCGACCACTCAGGGAACATCCGCAGGCCTCCCAAGCCAGCACTCAGCTCCACCACAGGGGAGCCAGGACAAACTGCCCTGGGTGGGTGCTTCCAGCTTTTCTGGGCTCCCAGATTTGGGGAGAGGGGGGGCAAGTTTCTCTACCTAGGACGGAGGGAGTAGGAGGCTAATAATTTCTATTTTAGCTATAGAACCATCCCCAGCTTCCCATCAGCTTTCGCAGCTGCCCCATCCCGCCTCACCAGTCTCGCGTGGCCGGGTTCAGGCAGGAAGGGCAAGGGTCAGACCCGGCTTTGCCACTGAGAGTACTTAGTACCAGAGAGGGTGGGTGTCCTCCCCAAGGTCAGACAGCCTGGGATGCTGCCAGGCCAGTCTTCCCTGAAAAGTGTTGGCACTTCATTATCCTCCTGACCCCACATTCTGGAGCCCCCCCCCCCCCCCGGGACAAGGAAGACGTAAGTTCCTCAACCCTGGAGAGAGTTTCCTCCTGATGGCTCGATGGACTCTGGCCCGGGAACAGGAAGGGGTGACCTGGCAGGATGGGTGGGCGGGGCAAGGCGGGTCGGGACAGAGGTACCTCTTCGCAGGCCCGGATCGGGCCCTACCTTTGGCGCTGCCCACTGGACCTCCGGGACCCGCCGCCGCCTCTACCGGGGAGCTCGGGGTCAGCCGGCAAGTGTCCTCGGCCCGCCGCCGCGCGCGGCACTTCCGGCTCGTCCAGCACCGGGTGAGAGCCCGGCTCCGCCCCTCCACGAGCCCGGAACGGGTCCGCCCCCCGAAAAGACCCCACCCCCGCCCCGTCCCCACGCCCAAGGCCGCCCTTTCGCCTCCGGAGTCGGGGCGGGGTCAGACTGGGGCTCAGCCCCACGCAGGCGCCGCCCCTGCCCGCCGCGCGCCCGAACGGCCAGAGGCGTCGTGCGGGGGGCCCGCCGCCGGGCTCGCGGCCAGCGCCGCGGGAAGGGGCCCCTCGATCCCGCGGACCCAGATCCTGCTGCTTTGCGGCCAGCTCGCTGTGAGACTTCAGATGAGCTCTCCCCAATCGGAGCCCGTTTTCTGCTGTCCGAGGGGACAGCCACCTTGCAGAACTCTCGACATCAAATGAAATGACTTTGGGAGGCACCTGGTGTTGAAACGACAGCTCCTGGGGGCGTTTCCCTGACCCCTCTACCACCCCCCCCCCCCAGACTGAACAGGACCCTCATATCTGTCATATGCTCACATAGCCCACGGTTGTAATTTTATATTTGTTTAATGACTGTATGATTACTGTCTGCCTCTTCATTTGCATTTTAACTCCAAGAGAGCAGGTCGCGTTTCTTCTGACGCCCCGGCGCCCAGTTCAGTGCCTGGCATACAGCAGGAGCTCAATAAAGCCCGTTTCCCTTCATTCCACCAATTCGACGCCCTGGTGGAGCGGCAGCAGACTCAGTACTGCCACTGGCCAGCAGAGGGCAGGCGCCGACCAGCCTTCTCGACCCGCTGAGCACCCTCCAGGCCGCGAGCGCCGCGGGACAGGGACAGGTGAGCCCAGGTGCGTGCACGTCTGAAAAGGTGGGCCGGCCGGCGAGCCACGGGCGAGGCTCGGGCGAGGGAACGCTTTTTTTTCTTTTGGATCTGTGATTCGCGGCCTGTCCTGAATCAAAGACCTCTCTGACAGCCTGTCAGGATGTGGCCCCTCCAAAGATGAGCTGAGAAGGCTCAGGAGGTGAGGGAATTTGCTGTAAAGAGGTCGGGCACTGCGGAAAGACCTGGAGGGGTGGGGCGCAATGTCAGAGCCAGACTTAGAAAGTACTGGGCAGTGGAGAGTGAGGGGTGGCTGCCATTGTTCTGTGACCCACGACGACAGGACATGGCTGGAACCTCAGTAATCTTTGCTTTAGTGAAAGTCATTAAGTGTCAGTCCTGAACCCAGGCAGTGTCTGGCTGGTATCTGGCAGTGTCTGGAAGGAGAGCTATCTCGAGGTGGCCAGAGGGCAGTGCCATGCCACAAACATTTCTGCGGAAGCATTATGTGTAACTATTATATATAACATTGGCAGTTTCTCCAATGAGGGAGGGAAGGAAGGAAGGAAGGAAGGAAGGAAGGAAGGAAGGAAGGAAGGAGAGGTCAGAGGTTGTGGCTACAGATGTACAGTCACTCCTCTTTGAGCCTCAATTTCCTCATCTGAACAATGGAGATAAAACTTCCCTTTCGGGATTGTACTGTAAGAATTAAACAGAATGAGCCCTGGCCGGTTTGGCTCAGCGGTTAGAGCGTCCGTCTGTGGTCCAGAGAGACCCGGGTTCGGTTCCCGCTAAGGGCATGTACCTCGGTTGCAGTTTGTCCCCGGCCCTGGTTGGTTGTGAGGGTGGCAGCCACTCGATGTGTTCTTTTCACATCGATGTTTCTCTCTCTCTCTCTCTCTCTCTGTTCCTCTCTCTCCCTCCCACTCTACCTGAACAAAAAATGGAAAAATGTCCTCGGGTGAGGATAAAAAAAAAAAAGAATTAAACAGAATGCACTAAATCAGTGGTTCTTAACTGTGCCTGCACATTGGAACCACTGTGTCCAGGGCAAATGCTGGTGCCCGGGGTACTGGAATTAAAAACAAAACAAAACAAAAAACCTCTCCAGGTAATTGTAATGTGTGTCCAAGGCTGAGAACTACTAAGCTAAATAAAATGCTGAACACAGTACAGAGCACACACTAAGCATTCAATAATGTTTATCGCACATTTTGAAAAAAAGATGGAGCACATTGTTTTCATTATTAGGGGGGAAGAGTTGATATAAAGTTTGTTGCAGAAATTGCATTTCTGACAGGCTTATTTCTGGAACTAGAAATCTTCAGAGAGTTGGTGATTATGAGGCTGGGGGAGACAGAAGCAGCCTCTGGTAGTATAATGTCCTAATGTCCAACTGAGCTGACAGAGATAGGGCCCACCCTGTTCTAGCTTGTGGTTTACATCACCATCCCCAGTGCATCCTTTTATTTATTTATTTATTTACTTATTTATTTATCTTTGTGTTGTTGTTTTTTGTTTTGTTTTTTTGTTAATTTTTTTTTATTGACTCCTTAGAGACAGAGGAAGGGGGAGAGAGATAGAAACATCAATGAGAGAGAAACATCCTTCATGCCCTGCACTGGGAATCGAGCCTGCAACCCAGGCATGTGGCCCTGACCAGAATCAAATAAGCAACCTCTTGATGTATGGGACAATGCTCAATCCACTGAGCCACACTGGCTGGGCCAGTGCATCCTTTTAGCTTGCAAGCAGCATGGGTGTTTGTGTTTGCCCCTTTCTGGGGTTAAGGATAGAAGCTATTTTCTCCTCCCCGGGGCACACTCACCGGATGGGCTTATACTACTGACAACTGTTGGTTTCTTGATTAACCCTTAAGTACAGGTGGCACTTTCTTTTTTATGGGACTGGATAGTCTTCTGTACTTCGTTAAGTCACAGACCCAATGATCCTGTACTGGGTCTCACTAGTTTCCTGCTGGGTGAACCTGGCATGAGGTGAAAGGACCCGCTCACTCGGGTCTGCAGCTTTGACCACTCCTGATGGCCTCATCGAAGGTAGGAAGGGAGGCAGAAGAACCTGGGAATTTCTCCCTCCAGCATGCAGGCTTGGGGTTGGGGCGAGGCAGTTGGTGTCTGGCTAGGATAGTCAGATTTAGCAAATAAAAATAGCCCTGGCCGGGTTGACTCAGCGGTTAGAGCGTCAGCCTGCGGTCCACAGAGAACCGGGTTCGGTTCCCGCTAAGGGCATGTACCTTGGCTGCAGTTTGTCTCCGGCCCTGGTTGGGTTGTGCGGGGGGCAGCCACTCGATGTGTCCCTTTCACATCGATGTTTCTCTCTCTCTCTTCCTCTCTCTCCTTCCCGCTCTATCTGAATAAAAAATGGAAAAATGTCCTCGGGTGAGGATAAAAATAAAAAATAAAAAATAAATAACTAACTAAATAAATAAATAAATAAATAAAAGATGCCCAGTTAAATTTGAATTTCTGATAAATAACAAAAGGGTTTTTTGTTTTGTTTTGTTTTGTTTTGCTTTTAAAGTTAATGTCCCATGCAGCATTTGGGATAGTATAGTAAAATTATTTGTTGTTTATCTGAAATTCAAATTTAACTAGATAGCCTTTATTTCTGTTCACTAAATCTGGCAACCCAGTGCCTGGCCAAACAGCCAAGGAGAACCCAGCATGTGGAATCTGCTGCCTGCAACAGCCTCCTGCCCAGGGTTGCCACCTCCAGCTTCCACCTGTCACTGCCTGCTCCAGAACTCTACGTGGCTCCCAGCTGCTTCCCTTGTGCAACTTGGACTCCCTGGCTGCTGCGCTTGGCCTTGGCGCTTCTGCCAGCTCAGCTGCCTCATTTGGGCCCTGTCCCACCTCTGCTCCTGCTCATGTTTTCCCTGCCTGGCACATCTCCTGCCGTCTCCTGTTAGCAATTGCAAACACTTATTGGGCACCTACTGGGTGCAGGCACAAGGCTGAGTTCATTTATATTGTCTCACTGGATTCTCACAACACCTAGTATGGTAGGAACAGCAGTTATCCTGCTTTGGCAATGAAGAAACGGACGCTGTAAGTGTTCTGTTTTGTTTTGTTTTGTTTTGATCCTCACTCAAGAACATTTTTCCATTTTTTTGTTCAGATACAGTGGGAGGGAGAGAGAGAGAGAGAGAGAAACATAGACGTGAAAGGGACACATTGAGTGGCTGCCACCTGCATGACCCAACCAGGGCCAGGGACAAACTGCAACCGAGGTACATGCCCTTAGCGGGAACTGAGCCCGGGTCTCTTGGGATCGCAGGCCGACACTCTAACCGCTGAGCCAAACTGGCCAGGGCAATTTTTAAAGTTGGTCCCGGGCTAGCAGCAGCCACCGCACCTGGGGACTTAATAGAAATACAAACTCAGGCTCCGCTCCAGACCTACAGAATCAGAAACTCTGGGGGTGCGGCCCAGACATCTGTATTTAAAAGTTCCCCCTCCAGCTGATTCTGACGCAAGCTGTAATTTGAGACCTGCTGGTCACAGACGTGAAGCCACTGCAGGAGTCTCCCATCCGGGCAGAGGTATAGAGGACCACCAGGCAAGATGTTTATGATCTTACCAAAACCATGCGTGGGCCAAACACCCGCGATGCTGCAGCCCCGGCACAGTCTTGGGGGGAGAGCAAGGGGAGGAAGAGGGGAAAGAACAGCAAGAGCGGACAGGCAGCCAAGCGGCTATAATGTAAGATGGTGAGGGCTGAGGTGGGCCACGCCCTGGAGCCCAGGTGGGAACAATATTCCAGGTGTAGGGACTAGTTTGTACAAGGTCCTGAGAGTAGTGCACTGTTGAGGGTGGAAAGGGAGGTGAGGTGAGTGGCAGTGTGGGTGGGGAAGGAATCTGACTGTATCGAGGTCCTCAGAGCAAATGAAGCTTTAATGAGTATTGAGAAAAAGCCCTCTGGCTTCTGGGTGGAGCGAGCACTAAGGAAGTGGGGCTGGGGGAGACCCCCGGAGTCAGGATTTCTCCCACCCGTAGACCCAGGCTGCTTCTGCCCCCCAAGGTTCTGCAGAGAGCCAGCCCGCTACCGCAGCAGAGGACAGGTGGGTGATTCCGAGCGGGAGTCACAAGGCCAAGGCTAATAATATATTCTGGGAGGGAGAGGTA